TGAAGATGATACATGAGGTACATTAGTGGACCCACACACTTCTGTTGCATGCTGAGGGGACCAGAGAACCACATGAGAAAGACTATGGGAAAGTAAATACTAATTATCATTCAGCATTATCATCTGCAAGTCCACAGATATACTGACGTGACTTGACATGCTCAAGGTTAAAGGCACAATGAGGATTCCCCCACCTCCTCCCTGCAACCAAGGTCTGCAGTGAGGACACAACTCCTTGTGACAATGTGAGGCATAGCTTAAGGGCAGAAGGTCAAGAGAGCAGATATTTTTCTGACAAAGTAGATTACACAATAAAATTGATTTATAGAATGTTCCTCATTCATTAACTTTGGGTACTGGTTGGTGTCCTCAGGAGAAGCGGACTGTTCCTTCTGGGAGAAGAAAAGGAAGCACTGGTAGGACTGTGGCTGTGTAATGCCATTGCATGTCCATAGTCTGTTAATAGATAAAAGGGAGATGAAAGTTTTCCCACCCCCAGCTTTTGCTTTAAGCTACTGTGCACTGCCAGCTTTTAGGCTGAACTGTTTAAAAACTACTACTGCTCATGTGACATTTCATGTTAGTGCATACACTCTTCTGACCCTGCTATCACCAGTGCAGTCTCAGATGACTATGAATAGGAATTGCAAAATTTTAGAAGCAAGGTATTATTTGGGGTACACTGTAAAAGACAGCCTTCAAGCAACAGTACCATTGTTTTTAAATTCGTGATAATTATGATGATGATGATAATAATAATAATAATAAGATATGAAATTCAATACAAAAGCTGTTGAAAATATGGTGAATGGTGAATAGAAAGTGAAGGCTATAATATCTAAAAGGTGTTTTTCCAAATTTTCTGTGAGGCATCAAAAGCTTTCAAAAATTAGAGAAATTTTCTTAGATCATCCCATGACTTCCTATTTATGTTCCTATCTATTTCCTTCACTTGGAATAAGTTTTCTCAGTTTTTCCTCACTTCTCAGTGTGCATGTGTAACCATGGTGAAATTTTTTGCATAACTTCAGTTGTATATTTCTGTTCATTCAAAGTTTAATATAGAACAGCATCTATACCTCCCATACATTGTCCCCTTTTCCTTTATCCAAGTGGTTCATGTTGCATGACTCAAGCCAGCTTAGTCTATCTACCTGCTTTCTATGGCATAGATACCTACATCCCTTTCAAAGAAATAACAGTTACCTGCAGAAATTGCTGACTGCATGCTTGGCTTGGTTCCTGGCATCATTCTGGTCTTCCCCACCAGCCACATAGAGAAATCCATCCATCACTGTGACACACTGATTAAAACTTTTAGCAGGCATTTCACTTAGCTTCTTCCATCCATTTTCAGGGTCTCTGTATAAGATGTCTCTGCTAAGAGACTTCTCTGTTAAAGCAGGGCGCCCCCCAACAGTAACTAAGACTCTGAAACCTCCACGGATCCTTGTTCTTCTGGACTGAAGTGTATTCTGGTGATAGGGAAGCAAGTGATAGTTCATGGCATCCACTAGGAGCTTATGGCAGTCTGCATCTTGCATCATTCTTGGCACAGTTTGAACATAATTGACAAGGTCTTGGGCTGAGATGGTACCAAACCGGATGTTACTTAAGAGGTTGGCTGCAAACTTTACTCTTTTTTGGTCAAATTCCAGCCATTTTATTGCAATCTGGAATGCAACAATTTCAGAAGGCAACTGTAAGTCATCATCTGCAAGAAGTTCATTAATCTGATCAAAAGTAAGTTTTAGGAACTGATCAGTTTCTGAAAATTCAATGAAGTTGTCTTTAATAAATTTGTGCGCTGCTTCCTTTGTTGTTTTTAGTCCATATGTTTCTGCAATATTGGCAATGTACATACAGTTCTCAACACTGATTTCTTGGGCTAGAAAATCACAGCACATCTTTGTAAGGGTGTGAATCTGTAGATAAATTGCTGTGGAAATAATACTACCTATTGTGTAAAGCGAGAGAGTAAGTTTTCCAGTGTAAGCATAGGTGATAACAGTAGCTAGACCCACTGGGGACACGTCATTGAGGTCCACTCTTTGAGTGGATGGATCTTTCTTTAAGATGTTGTGAAAGTATTCACTGCTTGAAGCCATCACTACCTTATGAACATTGAATGATTTGGTTTTGGTACTGATAGTCAAGTCACAAAGGAAATTTTCTTGTCTCATTTTGCTTAGACCTTCCAAGAGGTTTGGGCAGTATGATGGGTCGGAAACCTCGGATGAGATGCAGCTGAAACCATTTCCTCCTTCCAAGAGTCCATTCAAGCCATTTAGTTTACTGAGGGGGCCATCTTCCACAATGATAGTTGTTTCGTTGACATCTGCTTTGTTCTTTTTCACATTCTTCTTCTTCGGGGCCATGACTGCAATGAAATATTACAGCCAAGCACTTGCTAAAAATAAAATTAAACACCACAGTTGTGAAATTTAATAGCTAAGTTATTATGCAACAAATCTAACCTTTGTCAATATGTATAATGCACAAAACCAAACACATAGGATAACCTGTCTTCCTAAGTTCTAGGCCGCAGCATGGCTGCTTGTTAATAACAATCAATACTCCAACGGTGAAGAATATACCTACAAGTAATTCAGAAATTCCTTTTTGTTTTAAATAACAAGATCATAAAACAGCATTCACCTACTATCACCACAGTAACTCAGAGAGTTAAATTCTCTAAATGGGTTTGCCAGAGATTGCCATTAGAGAATGGCAAATCCATTCTCTAAATGGGTTTGCCAAATTCTGCACTCTGGTCAACCCATTTAGAGAATTTAACTTTATATAATAAATATATATATTTATTTAAATTAGACAGGTTCTAGACCAGAATTCATTAGCCTGAAGCATAGGAAAGATATGGGCCCCTGCCTTTGTTCAATCTTACTTTAGAGTTACAGACTTACAGGTGAGTTCAGAACTTGAGCAGGAAACACTAAGACTGGGAAAAATTCTTAAAGAAACCAATGCCAGATGAGACATAAAGAGAGAGGATTGTAATATGATGTCATATTGATGTTAGATTTAGGTCCTGCTCGAAACTGCTTCCAGGTTTTTGTTATAGACTGATAGTGTTCTATTTGCTGTGTCAGATGTGCAAATACTTTCTGCTCATACCATACTTTGATCGCTTTTCAGTATCAGTAATTTGAAATCTATAATCCCACTCTTAGGATTTTGTGGAGATTTAGGGAGAAGATGTTTAACTTCTATTTGAAAAAAATGTCACACAAACTCTATCAGGATGTGTTATTTTAAACAAGTTCTGCATTTGGGAAGGTAAGAATCAGTCCCATAGTTATGTTAGAACACATATTTAAATTATATGTATCAACTCTAGGTGAGCTCTCAAATAAAGAGCCACTTTTTTGTCAGATGAGATGTGAGACAGCCCCTAGTATCAAAGGAGTTACTTTCAACAAATATATGTATGTGCAAATATACTTGAAGGAAAGCACTGATCTTCAATAACACAATTTAAACAGAATTGTGGAGATCAGCATTCAAATAGATTCAAACATAGCATTTATCTACAGTATTGATTTTAAAACAATTTACACATGCTAATTTTCTTGTGATCCTTGCAGTCATAAAAAGTCGAACATGAAAAAAGGTTAATTAATGATATATCAAATGACTGGTTTATTGTAGATAATTAAATAAAAAAAATTTCAGTAATATTTCAATCTAGAATCTCAGCACATCATTCCTTCCTTAAGCACAGAGCATGTAACAAAATGGTAATTTAATTATAGAAAGGAATGGTTGCTGCCTGTGAGCACCAGCAGTTTTTTGCCGCCGCTGCTGGGTGACGGCCATGTGCAGAGCAGGCGAGGGAGAGGGCCATGTGTGCCCAGAGTGTCAGTGTCAGCCTGTGCTGACGTGAGCCGTGATCCCTGATATGCCAGTGTGCCAGCGCAGGGGTCAGCTGCTGCCCGGCTCCCCCGCTCTGGCTGCATTCCAGGCCTGCATCTGTTGAGACCTATCAGAGTCACCTCCCAGAATAGCAACCTCCCAGCAGCTTGCCATTTTAAGACAGGTTCAGTTGAAGGTATAGCTGGTGTTTTAGTATACTTGGCTGTTTAACACAACTTTTGTTGCAAAAACCTTATGATGTTGCAAGTGTCGCGTATATTTGTTGGCATGAAAAAGAAGCAAAACAAAACTTTTGGATAACTTTGTATGTTAGACACATAGTTAGAGCTTTGCATATTAATAGTCACAATTTTAAATCTGGCAAGGGCATATTCTTTCGGCAGCCTTATCTGTTGTTCTAAGTAGTTTTAGAGACTTGCAACTTAAAATTTTTAAAACATGTAGCACTTAATATTTATTGTCTCATTGCATCATTGCAGAGCTCATTTAAGTACAACATTTTAAGCTCTCTTTTCAAAAATGCTCACTATACAAAGTTTTTTCCTGACAAATGCTTTTCCATCAGCAGAAATTTCACAAGCTAGTTTAGTGTACAAGCACTGTAAGTGATGGGACATGCAAACCTACTGAAACAAATCAATCCTATAATAAAAACAAGTTACTGAACTTTGAAAACCCTGAGCGATTTGTTTTTCTATTATTGTTTGCTTTCACCTACTTTATTTTAGCTTAAGTACCAGTCATGCCAAAGGACACTTGGGGTTTCAAAACAATGCATTATACCAACCAGCCTCCCCCCTGCTTTAAAATGCCACCTTTTAAAAACTATCAAAGTGAGGAGTTAAAAACTTCTTACCCTCCTCAGAAAGATACTGTCCCAGAGCTGTCCGTGAAAATGCCTCTTCCTTGGAAAATGCGAGCACAGAAAGAGAGGAATTGTGGGAAAAAAGAGTGAGCAAGATCAGAGGCCACTTAAGTCCCAGCTCACTGGCTTTCAGTGAGGCACTTCGCTGTCACAGTGAGCAAGAGAGACCGGAGCCTGTGCTCGGGTGCTCTTTAAAATGACCCCTCCTCTCCATGCCTCGCTCCCTGCCTCTGCCCAGCCACAGGAGCTCAGCTTCCCTCGGCTGCCTGGCCACTGGAAATCAGGAGGACAAGCCTGGATCCTGCAAATGCACAGGTACAGGGGATGAAAGGGAGGGGAAGGTGAAGGTAACTACAGCGGGTAATAACTGCCTCAGGTTTCCCCAGCTCGAGCTGGGAGCCTGGGTGACAGTCCTACAGTTAGGGAAGGGCACAGCTTTAGACTGGACATAGGGAAGATGCTTTATGGTGAGGGTGGTGAGGCACTGGAACAGGATGCACAGAGAAGCTGTGGATGTCCCATTTCTGGAAGTGTTCAACGCCAGGTCTAGCAGAAGATGTCTCATGGCAGGGGGGCTTGGTACTACATGGTCTTTGAAGGTCCCATCAAAACCCATTCTATGATTATTATTATTCTATGACCTAAAACAACCCACAGAAAACACCATGGAAATTCTGTCACTTTACACTTTCTTAGATTTTCCATGCTTAACTCCAGGTAGAGGAAAGGAGACCAGCTGATGGGGATTCAGTCATGTTCTGTTTTGTGGAGTTAGGTCACTGCTTCCATAAAGACCTGCCTCAGCTTTCAAAGATTATTGCTCGCATCCTGATACATTTTCAGAGATGTGAGCTTTGATCTTCTGTCTCTCATGTGTGTGTCCTGACTTGGGGGTTATACCATACACTGGAATAATTTATCTCTGCATCCTTGCCAGGCGACCTCAGGAATAACATAAAGCCAAACCTTCACATCCCAGGAGAATCTCATCCTATGGGAGAGATAAAAACAGTGCAAGTGTCTGCATGGGAGGGGAAAGAGTACTGGGGGAAGTGGAAATCTGAGAACAGGAAGATTTTCTCTTGGCTGTGCTTTGTATAACGCTTAATCATACAGATTTATTTGGCTGCCTTCAGGCTCAGATGGGCTTTTACAACAACTGCTGCAAAGTAACACTTGTCATTTTGAATAAAAGGGCATCACTGTGTGAGTGGAGCTACATCACAAGGTAAGAATGAAAAAGCAGAATAGGAAATTAGTCAGTCAAATGTGTGAAATGAGACTGGAGGAGAGGGACATAAGGCTCAGCCTTCCCAACAACAAGATAATCAGCTTTCCTTTTGAAAAATAGGGCCACAGCTACGAAAAACTAAGGACAAAGCCTCATTTTCATAGAATCTTGGAATACCAGGTTGGAAGGAATACCAAGGATCACCTGGTCCTGCCTTTCTTGGCAAAAGCACTGTCTTGACCACATGGCCCAGCACCCTCTTCAGGCAAATCTTAAAACTGTCCAACCTTGGGGAATCCACCACTTAGTTCCCTGGGGAGATTATATTCTCCTTGTGAAAAATTCTCCTCTTGTGTCAAATCATAATCTCCTCAGTAATTTGTAGCCATCCTCCTTCACCTTTTCCTTGTGATTTCCTGTAAAAAGAGAGTCTCCATCTACTATGTTGTTGTGGTTTGACACTGGCCAAATGACAGGCACCCACAAGAATCACTCGCTCACCCTGCCCTGCTACAGCTGGGCTGAAGAGACAAAAATAACAAAGGTTTCATGAGTGAGATAAGGACTGGGAGAAATATTTCAAGGGCAAACCAGGCTCAACTTAAGTTGCAAAGTGAATTAATTACTAACAAAATTAGAGGAGGATAATGAGAAGTGAAGTAAGACCTTAAAACACTGTTTCCCCCCCCAGCCCCCCCCTCCTTCCCACTGACAGCGCAGGAAAACAGGGTGTGTCTTTGGTCAGATCATCACCTGAGGTTTTCTGCTGCTGCTCAGGGAGAGAAGTCCTTCCCCTGTGAGGTTGTGGCTCACATGGGAGACAGTTCTCCATGAACTTGTCTGCCATGGTTTTCTTCTCATGAGCAGCAGTCCTCCCAAAACTGCTGCAATGTGAGTTCCTCCCATGGGAGGGACCCCAAACCTGCTGTGACGTGGGTCTCTCTTCCATGGGGTGCAGTCCTGCAAGGACAGGCTGCTCCAGCCTGGAAGAAAGGGACATCTCTCTTCATTTGGGTCTCCCACTGGATCACAGCCTCCTCCAGGCATCCACCTGCTCTGGCATGGGCACCTCCCCCACGGGCTGCAGGTGGATCACTGCATCCCCCATGGATCCCCACAGGCTGCAGGTGGATCTTCAAATGCACTAATCTGAATGTATTGGGTAACCACACCAGTAATGCCTTTAGGAAGGATGAAATTCCTTATGCAGACAAGAGGTAACTGTGAAAGCATACTGAATTTCAGTGGGAACCACAGTCTTTTCAAAAAAGGAGATGGAAAAAAAGTGGGGTTTTTTTTAAGCTGCTGAATTAATGTAAAAACAATATTTTTAGGAACAAATGCACAGGGCTTAATTTCACAGAGGTGGCTCTGAATTACTGTGTTCAGCAAGGCAGCCAGCCCCAGTGGGTCACTCAGACCTCCCCCTGTACTGGATCATTTCCCACTTCCACTGACTAGTTTTGCCAGTCAAGCTTCATTGATCCATCCCTGGAAATTCTACCAGGCTCTTCTCCTGAGCTCCTCTTTCTGGTTTCAATCTTTCAGGTTTCAATCTTTCCTTGGAAACTCGCTAAGCACTGGAAGTAGGGCATAGGGAGGTCCTTAAAGGTCAGAAGAGAGTTTGCAAGCCTTCAGCAGAGCTCATGGTACAACAGATCCCTTGAGCATGTAGTGTCAGAGCAATTTTTGGAGCAATATTTGTGTGTATGTCAAGCCCACTTCTTCCTAAGAGGAGTCATGCATCAATGCCAAACAAACAAATCCTTGTAATAATCAGCATTGTCTGCAGTTTTGAAGGACTGAGTAAACTTGGAATTCTTTCCTCTTGACAGTTATGGCAAGCAATACAAAAAATGCTTCAGTTAGGTCTGGGCTAAAAATATTTTTCTTGTTCTATTGAGATTTTAAATATTGTCTTCACTGTCCTGAAATAATTATCTTTCAGAATAAGTGGGCAGCAAGAACATCTTCCTTATCCCAAAAAATCCAGTAGTTTGATAATTAGGCTAACAACATAGGGGAATCCCAGCTTTAATCACACAATTTGTACAACAATCTGACCCTCAACTTCACTACTCAATAATGACTTTAATCATAATGCTGGTGTGGGCTGAACTTTTCTGATTTCTTCTGCATAAATGCCACTCTGTACAAATAATGTACTTGGGCCAGAAAACTGAAGAGTGACTAGTTGTGAATGCCCTATTTTAAGGTAGGGTTGATGAAGTCTCTACATTCTGTGAAGATGAGTTAATTATTTCTGTAAAATAAAAACATGAGTATGGTAACTGGAGAGACAGTCTGCATCAGGGACCTGGATTTGTTTTTTCCATTTCCAAACAGAGAGCTCTACCTACTGTATTGCCCTATCAGCTATTTTGGTTTCTCTTCTGATGAATTTGCTATAAAGTGTGCCAAGCTGTAATAAGATCTATTTTGCAAGAGCAGCAATCCTAACGTGCAAATAGCAGACTTTTGCCTACTTAAAATTCTGTTGTAGTTGAGACTGGATGCACTGTTTTTTAAAACTTCCCTCCAACACCAGTTTAAAGAGTGAAAGGTGTTCTGTGTACCTGTTTTCATTACATCTATAGCAACTTCACAGGAAATTCTGCAAACATACAATTTTAGGAGGGACTCATTCATCTTGGGAGTCTTACAAGCACATGCTCAGCCCCGGCATGCTCCATGGCACAGATCTCCTTTCAGATGTGCAGTTCATGCAAGGCAAAGACTGATTCCCTGTCACAAACTTTTTAGGTAATCCATGGGAGAGCCCTGCTGAAAGTTACGGGACCCAGAAGTTCTCAGGCCCAAAAAAAAAAGAAAAAAAAAAAAAAAAAAAAAAAAGGAAAAAAGGCAGGACGTAAAGAAAAGGATGTCCCCTTCACCCTTCAGTCCGAGTCAGGACTGCAGGGCTGCCTGCGAGCACCACTCACGGCTTCACGGCTCGGCCTCGGTACCCCAAAACAAGGCACCCTTCCACAGGGCAGCCTCGCTGCCACGCACAGTCACCAGGGATGCCACGGGCCGCGGGGTTACTGCAGGAAACAGGCCAGACGTGCAGCAGCAAGTGACACTGTCCGTGTCCCCGGGCCCGCCCGGGGCTGCTCCCGAGGCTGGCACGGGCCCGCCCTGGCAGGGCCACAGCGCCCAGCGCCGCGGCCTTCCCCGGGCAGGAGCTCCCTGACCATCTCCCCCAGCTCCGCTGTGCTTGCTCAGTACCGCCCTGTGCGTTCAGACGGAGCCCAGCGGGGCAGAGGAGAGCACACTGCCCGCGCTGTTACTGCTGGGGCTGGGCAGCGAACGGCCGGCATGAACGGCCAATGGCGGAGCGGGCGCGGCTACAAGAACGCCGGGCGGCGACAGAGGAGCCCCGGCACCGGAGCCGAGGCCGAGGCGGAGAAAGGGTGGAGCGGCAGCGGTGCCAAGCAGGAGAAAGGGCGGAGCGGCGGCGCTGGCGGTGCCATGGCGGAGCAGGGGCGGAGCGCTGTGCGGAAGCTGCTGGGGCTGCAGGAGCGGCTGCGCCGTGCCCGCCAGCCCGCCGAGGTACCCGGCCTGGAGGCCCAGCGTGGCACGTGCTTGGCTCTTGTTTCTGTGTTCACGAGAGCTTTTCTGTGCGAAATAGGTGTTTGTGCTTGGTTTTAGCTGCACGCATCAAAGAGGAGCGGGGCCTGTCATGCCCTGCCTTGTTGTTCTTCCCGGTCCAAGGACTAAGCTGTTCTGAATCAACCCCTGTAGGGTGGCCGGGCAGCTCAGCAGCTGCGAGGGGTAGCTGAGGGACGCCTGAAGCAGCAGGCAGAGATGAGGGGAGCGCGGTCAGAGCAGGTGCTGAGGCTGCTCCGGGCTGTGGACGGGCGGAGGGGACACCCCAAGGCTGAGGGGCAGAGAGGGGACCAAGGAGCAGAGGGGACACCCCCAGGCTGAGGGGCGGAGGGGACCGAGGCTCGCCCCGCTCTCTGAGCCGCAGCCGGCCCTCCCAAGGAGATGGAAGCAAAGTAGCTTATGCCAAATTTGCCTGAATGTTTTATGAAATAATAAATTATATTTGACTGAAGTAGGTGTATTCGAAACAGTGATGTGATTTTTCCTTGAGTGTTTTTGTTTTTTCTTTTTTTTTTTTTTTTTGAGGGTCAGGTTTGCTTTGAAAATACAGGCACTTTTACCTTTATGGGCTTCAAAGACATTAAAACTTGATACAAGGTTGTGGTTGGAGGCAGAGGGCAGCAGTAAAAATGGCATTGTATTTGGTAGTTGATGAGAATCTTAGCTATTAATCATATCTACAGTGTGTTTTCCAAGTATGTGTGTATGCATATAGGAGAAATACTGATTTTCATAGCCAATAATGTCTTATCTTCTTGAATGTAGATGATGTAGACAATATCTGTCTAAAATGCAAATATCTGTGCAGGTGCTCCTTCAGAAGTTTTAATTTGCAGTTCAATGAACCTAAGATCTCTTCCTATGCTACAGAAACCATCAGCTATTATGGTTTCTGAATATGTACTTGGGATTAGTGTTGATACGCTAGTTGAACAATAGGTAGCAAAGGAAAATAATATAAACAATTCTAGAGGTAATGCGTTTTAAGTGATCCCAAACCAGTAAATTTCAAAGCATTCTACTAATGTGAAAAATGAGAACAACTCTGGCTAATTTGCGTTCATTAGGGGAGGAGATACAGTGGTTTTATGTGGCATAGCTGCAAGTAGATGCTGCATAAAATGGAGCTAATGGTGGTGCTGCAGCACTTCTGTCCCTGGTAAAACTGTCTAGTGAAATAGAAGTATTTATGGGTAACATGGCATAAGGAGTGGCAGGGAAAGTGAGAAATTGATAGCTGTAAATTGGCAGTCATGAAAAGTATTCCTAACAGAAGTTGAATCTAATAAGAGAAATTATGTCGTTAGTATCTTTAAAGGCGAAAAGGAGAGTTCTAGAAATTTGTGAAAAGAATTGCAAATCAATATTACAGATGTGTATGTAGGCAAGTGTTGTTGTTGTCAAATACTTCTGTTCCATACTGAGAATAATATTTGTCTTTGGTCTTTTTAATATTGGTAACAAGTTTTTGATAACCTCGCAGAACATTCATTGTCCATTTCAAAAGCTTCTTAATGTGTGAGGTTTTATAACTACCCATGGATTTTTCAGAGAATTGACAGAAAGAACAGTTATTGAATGATAGTTATGGTTCTAGGGGAGGTATGGGGGAAAAATACTGTGCTAGCATTAAAAGTCAGTGAAATGGTCTTCATTGGCACTGATCATAAAGGAATGATGCATGATGTTAAGATGCACCTGATGTAGAATTGAAGGGTGGTGCCACCATCCATACCACTCAATGAGATGTTATGTAGATATATTCTGCCAAATCTATCTCAAATTGTACTTGGCTGACACTAACTGTTGTGAATGTAGGCCAGCTTCAAGGCATTTGACTTCTGTGTGATGCTGATTGGAGCAGCAGTGCCACGGGCCTGAAATAATACGTGAAACTGATTTCAGTTGCACTCGCCAAAAATAAGTGCCAGACCTCATAAGGAAACAATGTTGGGTTGTGGATTTTTGGTGGTTTTTTGGGGGGTAGGAGAGTGATTATGCGTCTCTTTGTGACATGATTCTACTGAAACTTGTTTAATTTAGAAGACAGCAAACATTGTAGAGAAATACTACACATACTGAAGTAATTTGTATCAAATGAAGTGTGTCCCTTCTAGAAACCAAATTTGCTCATGTGGTAGGCTACATTCATTTGAGCAACACATGTTTTACCATGGCTCAGTGGAAAGTCACAGCTAGGAGCTATGAATATAGGTCATTCAGCATAGGAGACTGTATTTTGGAAAGCATTGACTCAGAAAATGATTTGGAGCTCTGATGTATTACCAGTTGAGCATGAAATTGCAGTGGAGTGCAGTGGCTTATGGAGTAAATGCTATCTTTGGGCAGCTTAGCAGGGTTATGTTATTATTGCTATATAGCATTAGAGGGACAATTACAGGAATATTATGTCATGTTCTGAGGACTGTTTTAAAAAAAAAATACTGGCCTGGATTGAAAGATAATAAGATAGCCAGGGAATGGCTGTAGCTCTGGCTAGCATAACTTAATGAAACTAAAGAGCCAAGGTAAAATGTGTGATTAGTATTTACATTTATTTCTGTGTTGTGTAAGATGATTGTAAGAAAGCTCCTTTAGTGTAATTAACAGATCATTAGATTTAGTAGCTGAAAACAAAACTAGGCAATTTTGTTTGGTGGTTTTTTTTTTTTTTTTTTTTTGAGGGGGAACGACAGTATTTGGGCTTTTTTTGCTGAACACATAGGGATTATCTGCTTAGGACAGGGTTGGGTTTTTCTAAGGTGTTTTCCTGAAAGTCCTGGTGCTCTTTTGAATGAGTTGTCTAGCTCAGCCAGAAGTTATTGACATGATGGAATTTCACAGGCTTTGTTATAGAAGAGAATAAACTAAAGAATCATAGGGATCTCTTTGAAAGGGAAATGCAGCTATTGAGTGAAGAAAGAGAGAAAACAGGAATTACTGCAGAGAAATATTGTCAGTCCCCTGAGGACAGATGGTCTGGGAATATGTTAGTGGGTTCCATCCTTCCTGAGGTTCCAGGCTCAGAGGGGAAATTAAGAGGAGACTGTACAACACTAGTATCAAGGATGATGGAGCAACACTGGTGCAGTGGAAATTGCCCAAACTCAGTGCACCTGGCAGCTGTTGTTACCACTTCGCTTTCAGTTTTGGATCTGGAAAATTTTGTTTGCTTACATGCTTCTTTCCCATTGCTTATTACCATTGATCTCCACTTTCCAAATTCCAGCCTGCTTTCCCTTCCTCTCTGCATCTTTGCTTGCTTTGTTCCTGCGGTCATCTTTGCTTGTCTCACACCACTATGTGGGTGCCAGCTCTCAGTTTGTCCGTAAGGCTTTACCTGTTTATATTACATGAAGACGTAGCTCTTGGTTTTTCTTGGAATGCATTTAATGGGAAGAAACCCTGTCCTGTAAGGTTTTGATTGTTCTGTATAAATCAGTATTTAGGAATTATGTAAACTCAGTTCAGGAATTATATATGAAGATAAATTTTCTTCAACATTTTTCTATGAAGTTTACAGTCTCTTTTAAAGTACATAGAGTTTTTCCACAAGGATATAGCTGATAGTGGTATGTGAGGTAAAATAGTCTGAAAACCAGTGGAGGGTTAAATATATTTTGTGTGTATATGGAAGGTTTTTTGTGAAGAAATTGCTAGATTCAGTCCAGTGAGATAAGAGCCAGATAGGCCACCAATGCTGTGATGAAAGAAATGGTTAGAGAAAGATCCCTCAATGGTTAGTCAGTCTTTATTTTGTTTTTGAAGGCCTGCTCAGAACAGACTTCATATTTTTGCCTTATTTTATGCAATAATTATAATGATATACTATATATAGGTACCATGACGACAAAGTTGGTGGTTCTAGTAAACTTTGGTTTTGGTGACAGACTTCACTCTATCTTGTGGTACCTTTCTCCAAAGTCCAATAGATACTGGAGCTTGGTATTTGTGCTTTGTCTTTGGTAGAGAAATCAGAGATCTCTAGCAAGCAGGATAAACACAAAGTTTCTCTGCTGCTACAGATGCTTGCCACAAGTTATATTTGCTTATTTTCTGGTTGTGCCTGTAAGTTTGGTTCTAAATCCCAGGAACTTGGAGATGTCTGATTCCTACCAGCAGGCTGGATGCAGCCATTTACTGTGTCCAGTTACAGAACAGAGTCTTGTACAAATCCTGTATGTGCAGAGCTGCTGATTGCCCTGCAGCCTGAGCTGTTCCCTGCTTCTAAGTGGTTGGTACCACTTCTAAAAACCTTATCAGTGAGTCTGATCCATTTTTTCTATTTTTTTAAATGAAACAGTGTTATTTGTCTTAATTTTACAAATGTGATATACATTTCAAGTAATAAAAATGAGCAGTGTGGTCTGTAGTTTAGAAGACTTGGAAAGTTTTGTTTTTCATTAAAATGTGTTGACTGCTTTTGAACATGCTTGTCATCTAGGTACTTTTGTAATTTAGCCTGTTGGTTTGAACTTGTACGAGTAGTAATTGCCTGCTTCCTGAATCTTTTCTTCTGAAATAAACTTGGCTTTATGAGTTAACTTAGTTCAAAATTCATCAAGAGAAACTATTCAAAACCCCTATTTCTGTATCTTGTTGAAACCATCCCTTAGTATTCTTCCACAAAGAGGTTTGTCTCTGGCAAAATAAATGGGATTTATTCCCAGTGGTTTGCATTGCTTGGTTATCTAGACATGTTAAATATCACAATCTAACGTGTCAGCAGTGGGTTACTTCCTTTTTCATTGCCAAATAAATTAAATCAATGAGGATATATATTCTTCTAATTAAATACAAGTGAACTAACTTGACACTGATCATCTCAAGCATTAGAAACTATGTTAATGTGAACAACTACAATTTTTCTTGGGGGTTTGCCTTATTTTAAGATAAGCAGAACTTCATATGGCTTTTGTGCTTGTTCTGAAATCTTGGTGAGGAAGCTTTTTAAAAATTAATTAATTAATTTTTAAGGTGTCCCTGCCATTTTGTAGCTAGCTGAACTTTTTGGGAGAGATTAGATTTGTTACCTCTGGTCCTAGCTGTATGTTTTACCTTGTTTCACATTTTCCCAGGCTGTGAAGCATTTCTGCTGTGCTTGCCTAGACTCAGAAGCACTGTTTCAGGGTGGATGATTTACAGAAGAGCTGCATGCCAGGCATGTAGACAGAGCCCACTGAACACAATGAAGATCAGTGTCAAGTGTGGAATTCCACTGCTCTAATGCACTACAGGAGCAATGAGACTTAGAGCAATAGTGGAGCAATATATCCCTGGAGTGAACTTATAAATTGTTTCTTTGAGCTTGTTACTCATTTTTAGTACCTCTTCTGCCTCCTGCAATGCCATTTCATAAACAGTATCTAATATAATAAATGACAGTTCATCAGTTATTTAAATTAATGTAGCTGCTTTTGTTGTCAGAAGATTTCTGGGTATGTGTTTTGTGTTCCTGCTGTTACACTGAGAAGTATCAATGATCTGAAACACTTGACTAGTATTTCAGGCTTTATGAAAGCCCTCTGAAATGCTGCTGTTTCAGTTGTACATTAATTCTGTCATCTCAATAATATAACTTCATGTGTGTGGTTGGGAGTGTTTTAGTGGCAATACTAAATTGGGGAATGCCATTCTTAAACAATGACAGAAAGATAAGACAAATTTGCTCTTTATAGTTAGCTGCAAGACTCTAGGGTGCTATATGCTACCCATTGCCAAATAAATTGGATTATATTGCTGTTGAAATTTATACTCTGCTTATAAATGTGACTTCTTTGTTATTAAAATATTTCTCATAGAAAGATGAGCATTTTGTATGTGAAAAAATCTTTCCGGCTTTTATGGAAGTGTTGAGTTTGGTAACAGATGTAAGCTTTGACAGTGCAAAGGAAAACAGTTGTTCTAGCTCGATCTTGTTTTGTTAAAATTCAAATTGCTGTTATGCTTTCAAAACCTTATTTTGTGCAGTCTGAGCTTGCACTAGTTCTATTGTCCTTTCTTTGCCTGGATTGATGGAGTGGTGCTGCTGCCTGTGAGGCTTGCTGGTTTTTGCTTGGTGGCTTTGCATAATGCAGCTTTTGTACTGGCTCTGTGGCAAATGGGGGCCACTGCCACAGGACGAGTAGGCATACATATGTAGCCTCTACTACTGCATTACTGATATTTACTGAGATCTCTGTAGCAGTAAATTCAAACTATCTACTGGGTTTTCTGTTACTGAAATTGAGGGATTGGCAGGACCGTACTGGTTCACAGCACTGACTGCAAACACTGCCCTGATGTGCAGTAAAGGAGTGCTTACATTTTCCAGGAGTTACTGGACATTCCTTTTAACACTATTGTGTATTTTTGGATTAAATCTGTGAATGAGAATAACAGAATAAGATTTCCAAGTATTTGTTTAAAACAATAAATCTGATGTTTTCTTCTAGATTATAAAAACACTTAAGACACTACAAGGCTTGGATTTATCGCTGGATATTTTAGTGGTAAGTGATCAGTAATAATACATTAAACTCTTCTCTAGTGAATTACTACATAGATGTCAAGAGTGTGCATTTGTAGAAGTGGTGTACATTTTGCATTTTATAATTTTAAATTTGTATCCTATTTGGTGTAGATTAATTTCCCAAAAGCTGGTCATCCAGCTTGATGAATGCAGTATTATGTCAACAGTGATAGAACTGAGCATATAGAGGACACTTTGCTAATCAGGTGGGCTTCTTTTCAGTGTAAAACTGCCTTCAATCAATGCTTAAAGCAAATAAGGATGAATCATTCTTTAAGTCAATTCTCTAACTCTTCCATCTTTCATTAGCAGCTCAAAGTTAGTTTCTTGCATTTAAAGAGGAGGAATCCCCAGTAATGATGCCTCTTATCCTCATCCAAGCTGCATCCTGTCAAATTCTATATTAGATATTCTCACACTGATCTGTGAAGCTTCTAGCTATTATAAGCAATATGTTTGTGTTTTGAAAAGAAGAAAAAGATGGGTTTTGTGAGAGAATTCTTTGAAGAGTAAGAGGAAAAATATAGTTGCCAAGATATTTGAATGGCCTATTCAGGTAAAGGCATTTGTCTGCCTAGACTTCAGCAGACTTCTACTGAAATGAAGCAATATTTATTCTGTTTTCCAATAAAAAGACGTAATCTCATATTGCAATTAATTGTTTAAAATGACAAAGGGTTTCTGCAGATGATTCATGTTCCCAGAAATTTTCCATGCTTTATAAGGCGCAGACTTTGATGGAAGCCTTCAAGTCAAATAGAGGAAAGTGATGTCTTACAGTGGAGGGCTCCACATATTTTTAATGCATTTGAAGAACATAAATAGCTTTATGAAGTAGTCCCACCAGATTTCTTCCATCTGTTTGCAATAACTGACTTACCAAATCAGGTTGCTCAAATTATATACAAGCTAAATATACTTGAAGTGAATTTAAGGAAGCCCTTTCTGGAGGCTGAGCTGTTTGTGTGGGAGTAATGTGTAGCTAAGACTTCACAGGAGTATAATTGTCAGCAAGAGCATTCACAGGTTGCAGTGAACCTACTGAATTGCATATTTTGCATGCATCTTAAAAGTGAGGGTTTGTGAATCAGATGTTTACTGATAATACATTATTAAAATCACCTGTGATTCTACAAACACTCAAAGTCTGCAAGATATTTTTGCTTAAACAAAACACACTAGAATGAGACTTGAAGACACAATGATATTGTGAAAATGACTTGCTGCTCTGACCCTTCAACCCTGTACTACTGGCTGAGATGTATTATATTACATCATGCCCAACATATATGCTCTCTGATATGCTCAAATGTGCTTCATAAACCTAAAGGAAATTTGAATTGATGCATTTTGTGGGCTTAAGCATTTGAAAGAAGTGAAATTCCTGAAATATTTAATGGAGAAAAATTACTTATCTTAGTTTTGTGAATTAAGCCTGCATTTTGTTCCCCATGTTTGGTTATAAATAACTACTTCCTTCAATTCCATTTGCAGTATAAAGAGGGCATTTATTCTTTGGCTGCCATAACACTGCTCTGAATATGAGGCTAATACTGTTTGTAGCAGTTTTAGAGGAGGTTTTATTTAGGATGAGGGTTATGATTTATTCTGCCCATCTTTCTTGCACTATCTTCAACAGGAAACTGGCATAGACAAAACAGTTAAAAGTTTTAGGGATCATGCCACTGCTGGGAATGTAGCTAAAAGTCTGTTAAAGCAATGGAAAAAGCATATTTCTCCAGAAAGTAAAAGGTAGGTGTGAACTTTTTTCCTTAAAGTTAATTATGCTGTAGTGTAATTTTAAAATAGAGATTGCAAACTTAGAAAGGTGTTTGGAATGACACATGTACATTGAATTGGAATGTGAATTGAATACAAGAAATGAGAATGCAGTTGTAAAATATGAGGAAAACAATCAAACCATTATTGGTCAGCCAGCCAGTTGGCACTCTGACTTCAGCTGCTTTTTGTGACTGGCACAAGTTCTTGGGTCCCAGCTGGTGCAAATGGATCTAAACCATGATGGGCACTGCTCTGCACTTGAGGAAATTGAGAAACTTGCTCTTTCTTCCCAGAGGTGGTGGTTAAATGAGGCAGCTCTCTTGTGATGTGGTTGTATTGAGGTTTTTCTTGTAGTGTTCTTGTGGACTGAGAGGGCCTTCCTCTCTGGAGGAGGCACAGTGAAGAGATGGAGTTTCTTCTGAGACTGAAGCAGCCACCACTGCCATGGCCAGGCCTGCTTTGCTTTAGATGTTTCATGGAATTCCAACAGTTTCAAACAGTTGAGCTGAAAGAGCCAAGGGAACAGTTTGACTAAATAGTGCATTTTAAATCTGAAATTGTTCAAACAACAGGAAAGTAAAATACTAGAACCTGTGATAAGCAAATCATAAAGGCTGACCTGTTAATCTGTATCACCTACAGAGCATATTGTAATTTTTTCTGACTCCTAGTTATTTCAAGCACCATGTCTTTGTTATAAAGCATGCAGGGAAGATTTGTGAAAAGTGATATCCAGCATGTTCTAAGCAGATAGCACTGCCAGATTTGTTTTCCTGCTCAGGGTTATGTCCTGACTCCCCACTTGTTTTGCTATCAATTCTTGTTTCAGTATTTAGCAGTGCTGGACCTGAGAGGTCTGTGATTCTGTACTAATAATGGAAGAGTAAGAACTCAGTGCAGAACTAAGTTCTGGGTTTTGTGAAACTATGACATATGGTGTGATTTTATGCTTTCAGTTTTACTAATATTGGAAAAGCAGATTGTTTAAGAATTTTGCATCAGCTACAGAATGGGATGTAATGTGTTTATTGTTGCAGTGATCACAGAGGAAGAAAAAATAATGGAAAAGAAAAACATGAGATGAAATCTTATGTTTCCAAGGAGATTAAGCCTTTAGAGAAGCCTGAAACATCTGTACTGGCCATTAGAAGTTCCAGCAGTGCTCCCATTGCTGCAAAGCTGAATAAGGAGCATATTTGTAGTGAAAAGACCCATCAAAGTGCAAATTCAGAGTCTCCAAAAGAATGTGATAATAAAGTATATAGCAGCAGTGGTTCTAAGCATGCTTCCCAGGGTACCAATTCTCAAGCTAAAGAAAGCGAGTTCAAAGAGAACACCTCCACAGAGAGCAAGAAAATTTCAAAAAAGCAGCATTCCTCTGCAGCCAATGAAGGTTTATTGTCCCTGAAAGAAAAGCCTAGTAAGGATGCTTCCAAACAGAGAAATCCTAAATGTGTGAAGAAACCAAAACAAAATCTTGTCATGAAAGACCAAGCCAAATCATCTAGTGATGAGGAATTTGAACCCCCTACTATGTCTTTTGAATCTTATCTTACTTATGATGAGGTTACCAACAAAAGAAAGAGAAAAGCTTGTTCTACAGGTGCACAGCCAAAAAAGTGCAGGGAAGAGAAGGACAGCTCATTACTACAAAAGACTTCAAAACTTTCTCAGGCAAAAGAGGGAGTTGAAGATGTAAAAAAATGTGAGCTTGATGAACCAGAAACTCCGAGTAAAAAGGTAAATCACTACAGGGTTGAGATAACAGCAGACACACAAGTGTTTTGGATTTTTAATTTCACTGAAATTTATCTGTATTTTTTTAAGGAACAGATTGCATGACTCTGATCTATCAGCTGCATTGCAATTGCCAATAATGACAATAATGGGGAGAAAAGAGATACAGTTTTTAATTTAATTACTTGTGTTTTAAACATTGTTTTCAATATTGATATAGTGTTTGATCTTTACCAACTAATTTGCATTTGACTTGCAGAATGCAAAGGCAGTTGCCTTTGGACAGATGTCCACCTTTTTTTTCTTTACCATCCTGGTTTGTGGCTTCTGCAGCTCTTTGTGTATAGAACAATCCTTTTGTCAGATGCTGTGGTTCTTTAATAGCAAATGATAATGTTTGCAGTGGAACTGAACATTCTCGAAATGCATTATTGCATATAAAACTAGATTATACATATTGTTAATCTGAGCTAGTCCCTTGTCCCTTGAAATACAAAAAGCTTAAGTAGATCCTCTGAGAAAATGTGTTTGCAAAAATATGTATTAATTAGACCTTTTAAATGAAGACCTTTTGTGCACCAAAAATTAGTTATCTTCAGATTTATATCTTCACTGTGATGTGAAAGCTTCAGGCTTTTTTTATTATGGAAGATCTGCAATCTCAGTGTGGTATCTTCTGTCCCAGATGGGGAAATATTAATGCAAAGGCTTATGTATCATACTCTAACATAAACTGTTTGAGGAAAAACCTCAGATATTCAAGTAGTTGTGAAAGGTTACTGTAGATACTTAAATGAAGTACAGGGAATGCAAATTTTGGGCTGTGAGTGCTGTCTTGCAATTGGAGGACACCTGAGACCCAATTTAAATGTTGCACTTGATCCATTTATAGGGACTCATATTTAATAGGTTGCTGCATCTTTAAATCCCTTTTTAGGGAATTGGCTGTGAATGTTTTAGGTTGAATGGCTTACTGACTGTGATCTGGGAGACTTGGTAGGACTAGGTATAAAGCTGATTCTTGTCTTTCAGAATTATGCTTTTGTCATCTTCAGTTTTGCCTGATTCACTGCGTGCCTCAGTAGTGATTTATCTGAAAGCCCATTAGCTCTACATATCTACTCTGTGCTTTAATCTTTCTGTGTGCTAATTGCAGATGTCCCACTAAATTCTTTTTGTGGTATAGTTTCGGTAAATAGAGTATGAAAGGATATGCTGCAAAGTAGTCCTGTGAATAAATTTTACTGTAGAAAAGCAAGAATTCTAGTCATCCTACTTAATTTAGGGATTTGCACACATGTTTGGAGGTTTATCGTAGCTTGTTTTAAGCCTGGTTAACCGCAAATTTATAATATTGAAGCAATCTTTCTTTAACTGTGCACAGACCAAAGTGGCATCCCTCCAAGAGCTTCTTAATACTCCACTACCTAAAACTCTGCCAGGCATCTCAGAATCATCTCCCCCATATGCTGCAGATTTTACAGGTAAGTAATATACAAGGCTGATAAATGTGAAATAGTGCAGGTGTCTATAGCTCTGCATAGAAATGTTTTATCCTCTTTTCCAGTAAGCTCTGTTAGCTCATCAGTCCATGGCAAAGAAGGGCCTCACTTCCTCATCATAGTAGGAACTATGTTGAAGCTGAAGGGAGTTCTAAGGCCTTCCTTCTTATGGCTTGCTGAGGAAGGTTACCACAGACTTAGAGAAGGTGTAAACCAGGCTGTTCTACAGGCTCCATTTATCTTTACTCATGTCTATACCTTAGAGCAGGCAAAGCCTTAACAGAAATTATCTTAGGTAAAACAAATATATGAGGCACTAGGTCTAACTTTGGCACAGGAACCACTAGTATCATTATTGGTAGGTGACAAAGTACCAGTGGTTCCCCTAGCAGCTCTTCTCATGTGGTTTCCTACCACTGGGATCTTGAAACTTTGTTGCTATTGCGGCTTCTGGCTTTTCTAAGATAACTCAGAAGGGTTAGTAAAGTTCTGTGGATGGGAAACAGAGCAATTGGGATGTGAATACAGCTCATGTAGACTGGAGATAAGTAATGCAGGACTGGTTTGAGTTGCTGCAGCTCACTTGCAGTGTACATCTTGGAGTTAGATGATGGTGAATGGACTTCTGCAATTTACAATACATGCAAGGGTCCCATGCTGTAATGCAGTAACTTTGTATTAAGAGAATACTTTGTATATGTAAGTAAAAGTAATTTATGTTTATCTCAGAGCTGTATGTTTAAAGCCTTGTGAAACCTGCCTGATGTTTTGCTTGCAGCGTTCACAGTACCTGTTGTAGAAGCACCCCAGCAAGTCAATGAGATAGTTCAATTCACAGGACAGAGACTGAACTCCAAAATGCAGGTTTACTCTGGCTCCAAGGCAGTCTGCCTTTCGAAGATGCTTACACTGTATGAGCAGTGTGTCCGCATGCTTCACAACAATATTGAGTGTGAGTACTTCAGGGGATTTGTAGCACTTGTGATTCTAAGGGTATGAGATTTGTTTCTCTACATGCCAGCCACTGGCCTCCTAAAATATATTGTCCCTCCCTACAAATGGTGACTTGGAGCAGGGTGAAAAGCTCTTGCAGAAATGGATTGATGACTGTGCTAAATTGTAGCTTTGTTTGAAAGCTTTCAGTTTTTAAAGGTCCAAGTTTACTTAAAATAATGTCCTATAAATGATAAACTAAAAATTCTGCCCCTCCACCCCCATGTTTGTTGTGATCAAGACATTCTTCATTGCATAGGCAGAGGAGGAAATGATGCATGTCAGTAAAGATGGGGCAATGACTATTCAAAGATGCTTTATCCATCCTCAAGTATAACTGCTAGTCAGTATGAAACTGCTGATTTATAAATATTTTCAAAGCCTGACATCAGATGTTGTATTAGTGCTTGCTAAAATTAACTTGTGTTTTTATTTTTAAATACAAGTGAGTGGTGTTATCCATTGAGTAAAATAAGTGAGATACTGAAAGTACTGTCCTCTTTTGTAGTGCTACAAGAAGCAGGAGGTGTGCCCTTTGAAATTCTTGAGCCTGTGCTAACACGTTGCACACCAGAGCAGTTGTTTCAAGTAGAGAAATGTAATCTGGTAAATTCTGCCTTGTTAAATTTGGGAAAGCACAGAGTTCCATAACTCCTTGGCCTGCACTGGTTTTCTGTCTTGCATATTAATTTCTTTGAATTCAGCTGTCATTATTAAGTCTCCCTTTCTCAAGTTTAAAACATTCAGGAGAATTACTACTGATGACTAAGTGAAAGACAGTGTGTATAGAAAAGTATTTCCATTTCTAAAAATAAGAAAAAAAAATTACTGTAGTATTTACCACTGAAATAGCTGGGAAAGTCGGAACCAACTGTTTTCAAGTTACAAACTATTAAGCCTGCAAAGCATATCAGTCAGGAAGTAGCTGGGGTGAGATTTCATGTATGTGTAGGTTTCTTATCTACACTGTCAGGACTTGAGCTCCATGATGCACTTGGGCATTGATGTTCTGAGTGTGCAATTCTTTGTAGGGCAAGTTAACCTTTCCTCTGTGTGCTTCAAGTTGAGAGCTGGAGTGGCCTGAGCCTGTGCTGCAGACAAGTGTAGCCTGTAAGCGTGGCTCACTGACTCCAGCTCTGCTGCTTGAAGCTGTGTGATTTCCAGGCTGCAGTCAGTGGCCCTGCATGGTATTGCCACGGTGCAGGTATCTGTGTCAGCACATGTGCTGGGATTTGTTCTGCACCTTCTTCCACCAAAGATTTGGGTTGTGTCTGTAGGCTCAGAGAACAGGTACTCTTGAAAATGTTATTTTAAATCTGATTTAAGATGTCTGTGTTTAAATTAGAAGTTTATAAAAGAGACTGACCACTTGTGGAAGAAACATTGCCAAAGAGACTTTAAAAATGAGAGCCTTCTGGAGTACAAGTCTTGGCGTGAAATGTACTGGAGACTGTTTAATCAGAGAGAAGAAAAACTGAAAATCCTTACAAAAAATATTCTTTCAGCTCAGTCTGAGAAACCAAAAGGTAAAATCTCTGGTTAGGTCTTCTGCTTAAAAATTCAATCTCTTCTGCTGTTCTTGACAATATGCTTGATTTAGTGATTTCTTTGCAGTGAGTACTAATGCTTACTTCCAGGAGAAATTATCAAGAACAAACACTGTTACTCTTAAATTAAATTTGTCTAAAAAATAAACAGATGCATTAATACAATATGTTGGTGTATTCTGCAAATATTATGCATTAGATAAATCTTACCTTACTGGTTGGACTAAGGATTCTAAGCAGCAATGCAAAGAGTTCTGGACATAAAGGACATGAAAAGTCACGTATCCTTTGCTCTTTCCTTCTATATTAGGCAGGCAAGTAAAAATGGCTTATGTGACTGGTGCAGCAAAACCACCCAGGAACATTTGCCGACAGCAAGAAATCCATGGGGCAGCAGGACCTGTCATCCAGCTTCATCCCACAGCAAAGTGCAAGTAAGTGCTATGTACTATGCTTTTGAGTTTGTGCCTTTGTCAGTTCAAAATCATGCTTGTAAAATATTTTTAAAGTTCTAAATAACTCTATTTACTTTTCTTAAGTGGCTAGTAGCTAGAAACAAACTTGCCTTTTAAGTCTTGTGTACTCCTCTGCCATGTATGCATTGTCATTGCACACTTCTCAAAAGTGCCAGTGAATTCGCCCTCCCAGCCGGAGTGTAACAGGATGCTGTTTCTTTTCTCCAGATTGCACTAAAGCCACTTGGCATCCTAGGGCAATTCCATTGTTGATGTTTTGGGTCTATTAACCTGCCTAGCAGCCTCACATGTTCTCCTGCTTTGATAAAATCCCAGTCAGCTGCCTGGTGTGATACAGCTGACCAGAATGAACCTCAGGAACTTTTAATACGTTTTTTCCCCCAGTGAATTTTAGAAGCTTAGTCAAACAGACTTTCTGCTGAAGGTGGTTGTAAGTATGGGTTAGGAAGGGCAGCCTGGATGTAAGAATTTTCTTAAACTCAGCTTTTATACCAGATAAATTTTCATAACTGTGCCTTCAGCTGGTGAGATTTGGAAGGTTCTTTCCATACTGTTGCTATTTCCATTGGAAAGATAGTCCTTCACCAAGGCAATTGCTTAAGGCACTTTTTCTTTCAGCTGCTCTGTGGGAGGTTGATTCTGTATTGTGACAGACCTGCCTTTCCAGTTTGGGTGTTTCAAGTACAGTAGCATACAAGTACATATGTCCTTTGTGCTCCAGTAATTTCTGGACCAGTAGCTGAGAGATGTAGACCAAGCCTTGCATGATTTTTTTTCTCAGACATGAAAGAAACTGTAAGAGAGTCATTGGTTTGCCTTCTGGAGAACCAAAGAGTTTGTTTAGGCACATTGAGTTGAACTTCACTACTTTGACCTATTGGTTTTTTAAGCTGCAGAATTTGTATGGCTGAAATTCTCACTTGAGAAGCTGGTCTTGCAGGAGCTAAAAAGTCCTGCTAAGGATTTGTGTGCAGACATGCAGATCCTTAGCAGGCTGCTATTCTCACTCAGTGTGCAGTGGTACTGCGTGCTGGCAGAATCTTCAGTGAGTGGCTCTGAGGAGTACAGGGCTGGTCACATTTGGTGACATTGTGCTGACACTTTAATGCTCTGTTGGATTAACATTCTTTAGCAGGAGGCATCAGCTCCGTATATGTATCTGCCATAGTCCTTGTCTTGCTGATTGAAGATTCCAACATGATGTTTAGTTAGTTATTGTGCCTTTTGCTAGTCAGTTACGGAGGTTTTGTTTTTAAACATTTGCCCTTATTTTCTGTCAATTAGTTAATTAGCAGTTCAGCTGTGTTCAGAGAGGAAAATAAACACAAGGTGCAAACTAGAGCACAGGGCATTATGAAATAACAGTGGTATTGCTGGCCATTTTGATTTGTCACAAACTCTGATTATTTGATTTTAAAGACTAATAAGAGACATGAAATCTTATACATGTAATATTTGTTCAACAATTAAAATGGAAAACATGGCCATCTGCAATCCCTTCTAACCTGAATTATCCTGTGACTTTGAAATGTATAAAGTTACTTAAATATATCCAATCAGGCTGTTGGTTTTGATTTTTTTTTTCAAAATGAGCCAGAGCAAATAGTTGCTTGATATTAAATGCTAACTTTTTTTCTTACTTGTTTATTTTAAAAGAACAGGGATTCCAGAAATGAGAGACAGAAATAACACATTATCAAATCAGATATGTGCTGGCAACAGTAGAAGTTCTAGCTCAGGTGTCATGATTCAAGATGGAAAGAAGCCTACCAAAAGTAAGTGGCATTTCCTAAGATCATCAATTTAATTGTTTTAACCTTCTGCCTAGTATATGCTTAATATTATACTCATACCATTTTAAGTTGCTCATAGCTGTAATCCTAACCAGTCTCTTTCTTTTGTTGTTTTTGAAGAAATAGCACCAATTATGAAGAAAACATTGAAAGCACTGAGGAGTAGAATTGGACAATGATAAAATGAGGCTGTGCATTTGAAGCTTGTTTGATGTATGTATGTATATTATGCTACAGTTAATGAAAGTAATGTCCATGTAAGCACTGTTCAATTTGCTTTAGTTAAAATAGTTCTGAAAAATTGCATGGGTGAATAATTAGCAATAAATACTGAAACCTCTGAGTCCTTTCATACTGCTGCTTTCTTACTTGAATTGAAATAAGGTCAGTACACACTAATCACAAATCAATTTATATGAACTTTTATAGTTGTATTTATGAGTTTAAGCTGGTGAAGGGTCTGGGGCACAAGTTTTGTAAGAATGGCTGAGGGAATGGGGGTGGTTTAGTGTGGAGAAAAGGAGGCTGCAGGGTAGACCTTATTGCTCTCTACGGGTACCTGAAAGGAGGTTGTACATGGGTGAGGGTTGATCTCTCCTCCCAAGTTTGACACTGCTTGATGATACAATACAAATCAGTCATGGAGGCAAATTCAAAGCCAACTTCAAACATATGTCCTTTTAAACTGAATCAGAATGCTAATGTAGATGCTTGTGCAGTCTCCTGCATTCCATCCCTATATACAGTTACTCCAGCATAGAGGAATTATTGCTGGATATGTGTTCCTGGCATCTGACATACGTAACACATGGTATTGGAGTACATTGGCTTGAGGCAGATGACTTTCCTTCTGGTGAACGGGTGAAAGATGTTTGGTAGCTTTGTTGCATGTTTCCCAGGCTGGCTGCCACATCTCATTGGAGGAGACCTCTGATCCTTCTTGGAAAAATGATTATTTTCTTAGAAAGACTGAATATTACAAGTGCACAATGGAGTTCTCTTCCCTAAAAACACACTGCAGCTCCTAGTCCTCCTGCAGTATCTCTGGAGCCTTTTATCCCAACAGCGTCATGCTTTTCCAGGTGATGAACAACTTCCATATTAATTTCTGGAAACTTAAATAACTAATGGGAGAAAAATATGGGCACAAAAGGAATGCCCTGCTGTTGTGGAAAGGACCACAAATGTGTAATGTGCGTAATTTCTTCTTAAGCTTTTTTCTTCTTTCAAGCATAGAAACCACTTTCCACTTCCTGACAGTGTTTGTTTCATAGCGTTCAGGAATGTTTTCCATCCTGCTAGTGGCTGGGCCCAAGAAGAAAGCTTGGCCTGACTGCTATACCACTTAAAAAAGGAGGATGCGTGATGTTGCCATCTAAACAGTCCCTGTGGTAGGAGAAGGAAAACAGTTTTGAGGTGAAGTGTTAGATCTTCTGAGACCCTGCTCAGAAGGCATGTGAATTCCAGGAGCCAAGCTCTTCTTGGGGACCTTGTAGGCATTTAAATGTTAGCTTAAGCCTGGGCCAAGGCCAGAATGGGATCTAGGGTTTGGCATGATCCTTCTGGAAGAATTTGTAGACATCAATGTAGTGCCTCATGCATACTGTTGTCAATGTTGCTGTTCAGGGATCAGTATCTGAGCTGCTGCTGAAGCTAGGCACAGCTGGGATCTCTGTGATCAGGGAGGTTGTTACAGCTCTGAGCATGATGCCATTGGCTGTGTAGTACCTGGGGGTATCTGAGGATTTCTGGTAGTCACTGGAGATAACCTCAGCAGAGGGAAAAGAAATGCCCTTACACAGCGCAGATCTCATACTTGCCATCTGAAAGATTGGCAAAATGTCTGTACCAAGGTTTAGTGTGGTGAAAAATGTTGATGCATTGATGGATAAGAAGACCATCTTCTATATACTGTTGTTGGGGAAGAAACCAAGCAAAACACCACTTGACAATACCCCAGATCACCCTGTGAGAGTTGCTTCATTCTTTTATTTATTTCCCTTCCTTGCCCTTTCTGTAAAGAAAGGAGAGGTTTTTGACTGGGTGATTGAAGGCCTTGGTTAGACAGTGTACTGTCTCCCTTTTTAGCCATCCCCACCATTGAACAGAGAGGAAATTTATCAAGATTCTTTTCCTGTCGTAACTAGTTATTGCCAGTGGAGGAACAAATCTCTCCTGGGTCACCACAGTGGCAAAAATGATCTTGGGTTTGTTTATTTAGAGGGCAAATGTATTGTGATTTTTTTTTTCTTTCTCACTAATTTCCATGTAAGCAATTCTTCCCTCCAGCCCCCAAAACATTTCTTTTCTGATCTGCTGAATCAATGGGGAGGGAAAAAGAATGGTGTTGGGTTCTTCTGATCAATCACATTTGATCCACTGTAGGGGCTGGGTTCAGCATTTCTTGGTGTGATTATTTGCCTTGGTTTTTCAGCCGTCTCTGTTTTGGGTACCATTGTTCAGCAGTGAAACCTTTCAGGAAAGTGATGGAATCACTCTGCAGTTGTGCTGCTTGACATGAGAATGGGAACAGGTTGTTCTTCTTCCTGCTTAATGGAAGTGATGAGCAATGTATCTGCCTCCTCTCTTACAAGTTCTGGTAAACATTTTTTAATGTGCTTTATTCAGTTTTCTTTTTTGCACACGTGAGTTGCATCCTTACACAGCTATCCTGTCTTTCACAGAACTGAATTATGTTTTATTCTGTGGTACAGAATTCTTTGTACAAAATTCTTTTGATTACATGTCTTGGGTTGTTTTTAAAACTTCAACCCGAATTGTTAGCAAAAAAGGGGCTCTGTGACTACACACACTATAGAGACAGAATTGCAGGCTTTTCAAAAGATAAATATAATTTGTAGACAGTTTGGTTCTAAAACAACAAAAAAGCAGATGAAAAACAAGCATTCCCAGATGTGTAAAGGAATGTACTAATCCCAGAAGACTTGAGGAGATAGTTGGATTTGGTATGTCCATCTGTGGAAACATTCTGATGGCCTGGAGATGAAACATCCTGGAATCTGAGGTCTGACAGTCCTGTACCTACCCCGCCCAACATCCTCACCAGTGTACCCTAGACAAAAATTATACTAGAAATGGAGTTTGGAAGTACTAGGTTTTCTAGAAGAAAATGCATGATGAACTGTCACAGTTTTTCAGAAATGAAGCATCAAAACCTCAGAAAATTGCCAATTATTTAAAGGCATAGAAATTTAGTTTCAGAATCCAAGTGTTTGTCCTAATTTTTGATGATAAAACTAATTCAGGTCAGAATAGTGCAGGAGGTTGCAGTTTTGTTAATTTTTCTCCCCTCAAATTACAGAACTTTAAAATTTCTTCTTTAAATGTGCATCTACAAAGCCATGAATGTAATCTTTGTAGCTTAAGCCCTAAATGGTGTCCTTGCTGTGGGAAGTGCTGGTGGAAGCTTTCAGCAGCATATGTTATGTGAACTCTGTTTACAGAGAAGTTCCCTTTTTTTATCCCTGGTGACAGACCTAAAAATGGCACTTGCTGAAGGACAGGGCTGAACAACTCTGGAAAATCTTCTCTAGCTGTCCTCCTACAGAACTGTAAATAGGTATCCCAGCAGTAAACAAAGCTTTTTATGACATCTCCAGGCCCCATTCCTTTGTGTTTATGGAATTGCTGAGGCTGCAGAAAGAGATGCTGCTTCAGGAGCAGGATACTTAGCTGCTCAGGCAGAGATAAAGAGGAGCAAACTATTGCTGGCCTCTGGAAGAAGGAAGGAGTCTAACCTGCAACATAAGGAAAAACCTTCTGAGACCAGACTGGGAAGCAATATTCCCTTTTTTCAAGTTGCTGACCTCTCTGAGGGGTCAACATTGAAGTACTCTTCCTTATGCTATCTGACTCTGTGAATTACATGAGTTTCTTTCACCAGACAAGGCACTTTTGCTACTTACAGCTCTTCACAATGCTCAGGGTTCTCAGCTTTTCTCTCCCACGGATGTGCTATAGCCGGATCTCTGCAAAATGCATTTTCCCACAGTTACCTGTGTTGATGTGCTTTTTAATACTTTTCAGACCTTTCAGTCTGAAAGTTAGGTAATTAGTCTGTCTCAAATTTTAGATAACCACTAAAGTGGTGTATTAAATTGTAACTTGTCAGAGCATTAGTATCATTGTTGAACTGTGCTGACAGCTGAGTTCTGGGCTTAGGTATTTAGTCTGAAAGTTAGGTAATTAGTCTGTCTCAAATTTTAGATAACCACTAAAGTGGTGCATTAAATTGTAACTTGTCAGAGCACTAGTATCATGTTTGAGCTGTGCTGAGTTCTGGGCTTAGGTATTTTCAAAAGCATGGAGAGAATGAAATGTTTTAAAGGAGTCCAAAAGGCTTATGCACAAAGCAGCTTCTCCAGGTTTCCAGAAAGCCTGAGACTTGAGTTTGCTTCTGCAGTTGAGGGATGGAAGATCACAGGCCGTGACCAGAGGTAGCAATAGATAAGGAGAAAAGTATTCTATGTGGCTCTGAAAGGGCAAAATTGCTATACTGGGCACCTCATTACAACAAGGAGGTCTGTGTGCACAAGGTTTTGTTGTGACCTGGATGTTGATCACCAGCTGATTAATTAGCTGGCATCATTTCAAATTCCTTTTTTTGGTAAGGTGCAAGATCCATCACTTTTCCTTGTTAAACTTCACATGGATGGTGATTGCCCAGCTGTCTAATTTGTCTGTTGCTTCTCTGCCCTCAAGAGAGTCAACAGCTGCCCTCAATTTATTGTCTTCTGCAAACTTCCTCAGTGTCCCTTCCTATCCTGCATCCAAGTACTTTATGAAGATGTGGAAGGGCACAGGGCCTAAGATGGAGCCCTGTGCAACCCCAGTAGTTACAGGTCATCAGTCTGGTGTCACCCCAGTCAGTGTCACCCTTTGTGCCTGACCCATGAGCCAGTTGCTCACCTATCACATGATATATTTATTCAGCTGTTTGCTGGACATTTTGTCCAGAAGGATCCTGTGAGAGACAGAATCAAAAGTTTTGCTGAAATCCAAGATTTCATCAGCTGGCTTCCCTTGATCAACTAGGTGGGCTACTTTGTTGCAAAAGGAAATTAGGTTTGACGAGTAGGTTTTTTTCCCCTTATGAAGCTGTGCTGGCTGTGAGTGATGACTGTGTCATCCTTCAGGTGTTTTTCAGTAACTTTCAGAATAATATTCTGCATAATTTTGCCAGTTATAGAAGAGACGCTGACAGGCCTGTTTTTCCTGTAGTTACCAAGGTCATCCTCCTTGCGCTTCTTGAAAATTGGGCCAACATTTGCCAGCTTCCAGCCAGCTGGGGCCTCTCCAAATTCCCAAGACCATTCAAAAGTAATTGAGAGAGATCTTGTGATGACATTAGCCAGCTCTTTAAATATTTTTGGATGAGTTCTGTCAGGCCCTATAGATTTATAGGGATCCAGCTGGAACAGCAGATGCCATGGTTGTTCCGGGTTGACTGGATCATAAAAGGTTTTAGTGGTCCTAAGAAGGAGTTAAAATTTAACATTCTCAGCAAGGTATGGGTCCCTAGGAAGGGAAATGTCAGTGGTCTGTATTGAATGCCTTTCCCAGAAGTTTCCTGATCTGGAAAGCTGTAGTAAGCTGTACCTGTGTTTGCTCTGCTGTTGGTACTGAGAGCTTGAGTCTTTTTGGCTTGCCTAGCAAGAGAAGCGTAGGAAAGAGTTTCCTCAAGAAAACCTTAGAGTTTGATTTACTATGAAGTTATTTAATCATTCAGTGTTATCAAAACTTTCAACACTCAGTGTATCTTGTTTCTCTGTAATTTGTATCAAGATCTTTGTGGAAGAACTCATGCATAATGCATGAAGTGTTTTTCTAGATTGTTTAAATAAGACTGAGCTATATTTTGCATATAAGTCAGTGTTAAGCATTGAAAACATGGTATAATTTTCTCAAAATTATGGCACTTACAGCACAGAAAGATTTTTTCTGAAGATTTAAGGGAAAAACCAAGGATGTAACAGACCATGTTTTTAGTGCTGCTGTGACTAGCAGCAGCTGTTTACATTCTTAGTTCTTGGTAGTTAAAACCCACCTGATATCTTTGAGCTGGTCAGTGAGAAGACAGCTATTCTTTTTCACCAGTATTTTTCTCATTGCTCTAGGAAGCTTCATCTCTTATCCCTTGTTTATAATAATCTGCTGAATTATTTTAAGAATGCTTTTCTTCTAGAAGTGAATTGCTGTAATTCTCAAAAAATTACAATTCCCTATGGCACTACTGTTTCCTTTGGAGAGAAGACACTTTTGCTTGGGTGCTGTCTTCCTGGATGCCCATCTGTTATTTCCTGCTTTCTCTGACAGCATGCTGATGCTGGGGAAGTCGGGGCTCTTGACTGTGGGGAGAGAGCAAAGAGCTGCCTTTTCCTTATTATCCTTACTAAACCTAAGTTTAAAAGTTATTCAGTCTTTTTAAGGTAGTTATCAGGTAACAAAATGTGGTAAGAATTTTGACAGCAGAAGGCTAACAGTGTCACCACAAGACTGTGGTCCTGAGGGTGGTAAGGATTTGGGTGGGTGCTGTGCATCCCATCTTCTGTGCCCTTGGAGCATGTCTCCTGTCCCTACTTGTCCATCCTTTGTGGTGGCTGCTCCAGGGCCCAGGAAGGATTGTTACAGAGGTTTTCAAGTGCTGCAAAGAAGCTCTGAGAACTAGGTCCCCAATTCCTCCTGAATGTGGATACAGCTGGACTCTGTAACTCCTCTGGGCAATTATGGAAATTATTGTTTGGGTCATTTCCGCCTCAACAGCCCCTTTCCGAGAATGTTGGTGTGCAGCTTAGAGGGTTTGTTTCCTCAAGACCGATGCCAAGCCACAAGCATGGAAAATCTGAAAGATCTGAGAAACCTCTGAGAGGTCAAGAATAATATAAAGTTTTTTCAGTCTGTCATCCAAAATGCTGGTGTAGTGCTGTGCCTTGACAGCTCTCCCAGTAACATTGAGGAAGGCAAGTTTTGGTTCTACCTCTTTTTTTACCCAAAGTCTGTTGTGTCCTTACCTGCCCTCCCACCCCCAACCTCCTCTGTTCACCCAAATCCTGCAGTCTGTCTTTGTGCCTCCTATTTTTATCATAACCCTTCCTCCTCCAGCTCCTGATGCCGTATAGCAATGCTGCACAAAGAAATGTATCTGTGAGAAGCCCTAGGGTGTCTCCTTCCTTCTCTTGTGTTGCACATGTGTGCTTTTCTTTGCTTGTTTTTAGGGGTGTCACCATAGTTTAGTTCCAACATCAAAACCGTTCCCTGTTCCTCATTATAGATAATTCCATAAATGTATTTTCAGTGGCATTTTTTATTTTTCATAACACTCTAACAGGAAATTAAAGCTTCCTAGTTTCAGAGATGCAGCTGTTCCTTGCTAATGTATCCCAAAATAATCCCAAAAATGAGGATGTGTTTGCTTCCTTCAAGTGTTTGTTCATACTTTTCAATCTGCTAATTTTGTTTTCTTTGCACTTTGACTTGCTGATTTGTTGTTAAGTATGAAATAGGTGCTTGTGTTCCTGAAAGCAGGTGCTTCAAATTCAGGTTTAGAAAGCCATTTCCCATGCTTGAAAATGGGGCTTTACAAAAAAAAGGGAGCTTTCTCTTTGCCCAAAACCTGCCTTACTTTCAGGTATTGCTTGTCTGCAGCTCTATTTACAGCCTCACATGATGAGTGGGCTGTGCCTATTTGGAAGCGAGTAGATAAACGTGATAAACGTGCTGTCCTCTGCTCACCTAACCCTGGCTCCCATGCCTTTTGGCAGGTTTAAAAAAAGACTGGTTGGTGGTTTTTTTTTTGTTTGTTTGTTTTTTCACAGAGGAAGACCATTGTGCTATTTTATCTGAGACAAGATACTTGAAAGCAGTAGTAACTATGTTGGTCTCCATACAAGGCCACACATGGCACTGGTGGCCTCAGCGTAGCAGTCTACAAAGACCAGAAAGCAATGTCTGTGCTTGCATTTTTTGCAATTTAATCAGGTGTCACTTGTCCCTGTTAAATAAGAGGAAGACTTGCTAGAGGGAAGACTTCCTCAAATACCTTGTAAGAGCACCATAATTTTCCATCTGGGCTATGTAAAATAAATCCTCTTGTCACACCAGTCCCTGCGGTCCAGCCCAGTGACTGGCAGCCTGGCTGTGGCAGGCAGCAAACCACCAGGTTTCATTCAGGAGGAGCCAGCAATTCACTTGAGTGTGCTGCTAATGGCCTGCTACTTTCCACTACAGAAAATTAAGCACAAAAGTTTGATGGAGAGTGACATTAGTTTCAGGACATGCCGTAATGTATCTGTGTACAGACTATGAGCCTCACTGCTTCTCTTCATGGGGAGCTTCACTGGCCCTTTATACTCATCCTCTTTTTACCCACTCTAAGTAGAGCAGGTCATCTAAAAATCTCTTGTTTGCATGAGATAAAGGTTACATCAAAATGGGTGTTTGAGAAAGCTAGAGAAACCCAGAGCTGCCAGGACAGAGAGGTGGTAATGCTTACCTTAGGGGAATGTTGATAGGAGTCATCCATTGAAGTTCTCTGGACTTTGATTGGAGAGTAAATCTGAGTGGAGATGTTGACTCCAAACACTGCGGTGGATGGGCGGGGGAGGGCATGCAGATTGAACTTGGAAAAACTAATTTTCCATTGCTTGGATAATCCCTTCAGAATCTGTTTTTTGAGCATCAGGGCAAGATCCTATCTCTTTATTAATACCTCTGTGGTGCCTGTGTTGGAGTGGAATGGGTGTCAGCAGATGAGTAGCTGTGCAAAGGCTGTTTCCATAACCAGTCAGCAGGTGATAGCTGTGAAGCTGAGCCATTTAAATCTGTGCTAATATGCAGCACTTGGGATTTATTCTAGAAAATTATGCTGGAATTTGAGAAACACAGGAATGGCAATATGCACTCAAACAGTCAGATGAATTGCAATATTCACAGTCCATTAAGTCCAATAAAAAAATCCACTGTCATTAAAGTGGAAAAGTAAAGGTCTGTGATATACATCTGTTATTTTTCAATATGTTAAGCATAACTTGTATCCATTGGGCCTTCAAAATTGTAAGCTAATCTGTTGAATGTATGGATGAATCTCTTCAAAACAGAGTACGTGTTGCCTCACTATTTTCAAACCTCAACAGAAAATAGCCAGGAATTCTCTTTTATTTTCTGAGTTCTTTTACAGAGAACTGGTTAGATCCAGATCACTGGCTCAGGCTGATACATACAAAATTATGATGTTGTAGCATCTGGTTTGTATTAAAGGAGAATAGGAATTTATTTATTTATATTTTTACTCTGTAGAGGGTGAGCCATAGGTGCTACATAACTTTCTGAATGTTTTTAGCCGAAAATAACAGCTTTCATACCATAAAAATTGGAAGGGGAAGGGAGTATTTAGTCACCTCCACAGAAATCTAAGGTTGATTCTTATGTCAATAATGGCTCTATAAACTTTGTACTATTGGAAAAATCAAAATACATATTTGCTGTTGTTTTTTTACTTACCGTACTTACACTTGTTCTCCCTGAAGCAGAAAGGATGACAAAATTTTTGCCCTTATGCCTCTCAGATGAAAACAGGCACTTTGAAAGCAAATTAGACACATGAGCAGGAAGTAATGTGGTTGTTTTGTCATTTTCAGCCTGCGTAGAGCGAGGTTTCTGTCTGATGGGCTGGTGAAAGGAATGCAAGGATGAGTTGCTTGTCATCGTGTAATCTGTCAATATATAATTTGTCAACATATAATATAAAGCAGCCTCTGGAGAAAAAAATACATGCTTTGTGGTTGCATTCATAATGAATTCAATGAAATGCAGATACCTTGTGTCAAGCCCGGATAATCTAGCCATAAAACTATGCTAATTGAAAAGATCTTTTTAATTTCAGGATGAAGTTCTTGTGAGCTGGCAGGGTTCTCTGTAAAAACATGTGTCAGTGCTGTTGAAGGAAGCACCTTCCAGTATTGGTATTCAGTTGTTTTGCCAGCTTCAGCATGGGTTGCAACACCTCTCAGGTTCCAAGCCATTCCAGTATTGGTATTCAGTTGTTTTGCCAGTTTCAGCACGGGTTGCAACACCTCTCAGATTCCAAGCCTCTTTTTGCCCACCTGTCCCTGCCTGCTGTCTGTAATTTAGGTGCGCCTCATGAGCTTCTCTGTGGAGTTTATGTAATTAAAATAACCTTTGTGGAGGAACAAAGAGCAATTGAGTTTGACTGGGAACCTTGACTTGACTTTGCTAGTGCACTGGATTCCTCAACACAATGTAAAATCATGTAGCTGAGTATGACATTAATGGTCCAGAAAGTATGTAAGATAGAGACACAGAACACTAAGAGTAATGGAGAGAAAAATAACCTGAATTCCTCACTCGTGCTCTTTGCTTCCACATTACAATGTGTGAAAGGCAGCAGAAGCTTATATGCTGTTAGCCAGCAGGCATGGCCACCCCAAATACCACCTATCATACAGGAACTTTTTAATACAGGGTCCAGAAATCCATGGTGGAATTCTCATTCTACTCTTCAGAAGCACCAAGCCAGAGAAGAAAAATGTGTTACAATTCTAAAGAGTCAGTCTGTGAAAACTGCAGCTGTCCTTCAAGAAAGTAAATTCCTGGTACTGCCCAACACACTTTTTGCTCACCATTTTATGTTTGAGCTATAAATATAGTTTCCAAATGAAACAGCTGTAAAATTTTCAAGATAGAACAATGTGAACTGATCAAAACTGGCATTGATATAGTCTCTCTCTCCTCTTGCTGTATATTCCTGGCACCTTCTTTGCACCAAGCTGAGCGTTTTTCTGTGAGCCAAATTGGTAAAAATAGACTCCCAAACTGCTGACCATACATTTCCCCTCCTTTCTTCAATCAGATCTAATGTTCATGTATTATATGCTGTGTTGATTCAGCATTCGAAAGCAATGAAATAAAAAAACAGTCTGTTTCTTTGTATTTCTCATACTGGTTTGGTTTCCCACAAGGATCAGCAAGCTTGCTCTTACCCCACAGCTGTGACCAATTCACAGGAGAGCTTGAGGAAGTGGAGGCAAAGGAGAGAGCTTTTTTTGTTGCTGTTAGTAGAAGCCTAACTAGAGAGGTTTAGGCTGAAGATTGGTTCAGGATAGTCAAAATTGACAGGAAACCCTCTGACAAATGGTCCAGCCTGTGCTTGGCTGCAAGAGCACTGGCAAAATGTGAGTGTCTTGCTGGGGATTTTCAGGGCTAAGCCCTCTCTTTTGCTGATCACAAGGGCATTGGTTTCAGTTTCTGACGTAGTGGTATAAGCCAAAAGCAACGCACTGTCTAAGTGGTTTAAACTTAGACTGAAAGTGTGGCCTCAGAAAAAAAAACAAAAACCCAAACATGCAACTGATGAAAAGTATATTGAATTGGTACTTGTCCCATGGAATTGGGAACTGAAGTAGTTCAGAGAGCAGATTCAGCTACTAAGGATGGCTGTATTGGATTCCAGTTGAATCAGCTTGCATGAACTGTCTATAACGTGCCTGCATGAGCATTAGTGCTGGCTGGCATGGGAGAGAGAGCAGGGGAGAGGAGAAAAAGGCTATAGTATCATAGGCTTAAATTGCAATGACATTTTGTGCTGGAGTGAGCTGAGAAGCAGGTTACATCTGTCCAGGTGGGGAGACCTGATCAGTGCAACTACAATCAGCCCAGACAAGAAAAAAGCAGTGGGAGCAGAAGGTGGAGACTGCACCATACACGCCATTTTGAAATGGATTGGTAGAGGATGGGTGGAGGTCTGGGGTACTCTTTTCCCCTCTGTTTTTAAGTAGGTGGCTTTGCTGGTTGAGAGGTATGAATTGTATGAAGCACTACCTGAAAAATCTCCAAGGGATTACTCTGGGGCATGTAGATACAGTCCAGAGTGACATTTGTTCAAATCACCTTTTGAGGAAGATAAGGGTTTTTCTTCTTGCTGGCCTTACCCAGTTCATCCTGGATATGCAGCACAGTTTCACAATTCTGAGCTGCGATGTTCAGTTCCAAATGAAATTCAGTGCCTGACGTTGGGTGAGATGTTTCTTATAGCAGACAGTGACATTATACATGTTATACGGGCCATTCCCCAGGGGAATTCATGGCCTGCAAATGTGCAAAACCTCTAGTGGCTCGTTTTCTTTAGACGTTACTTTACTTTTTTTGTATTTTCATTCTGCTTCTCCTATGTTCTGTACATGGCACAATATTCTTGTCCTAGAATGTGATATTGTTGAGCCATGTGTTACTGCAATTTCATGGCACGAAAGCCTGAATTTGATCTATTATTATTTTAGTTCTTCTCTTACTCTGGGTATATAGAGTTTAGATTAATTACTGCAACTGGTCTTTAAATATTATTGTAATATAGGAACTAGGTGTAAATATTCAAATTGGTACATCTAAGGCTAAATTACTAAAAGCGTGGTGTACGACACTTGCTGTACAGATTGGTTCCAAAGGGACTGGCTAGGTCCTGAGTGTTTCTAAAACTCACAGCCATGTTTACTCTCTGTTGCTAAATAAGAGACCTAGAGACCAGACTAGAAATATGATGGGATTTCGAAGCTTGCATTTTATTCAATTGTTTTTACTTTTTTGTTTGGTTTTTTTTTTTTTTCTTTTAAATGTATGCATTAGCATGAGCCTATGATGACAGGGAAGCAGAGAAAGAAAGGTGAAACAATTCTACATATTGCTGAGTGATTGCCTCAGTTTGTTACAACCATGAGCCCTGTAATTAAATAGAATTCACTCCAGCACAGAGGATTTCTGTAAAAGCCTTTGCTCCACACACGACCTACTTCAGGTCTCTGTGAAGGGCAGAAATTTGGCATAACTGGTGAGGTTCTGCCCCAGACATAAATCCTTGATGAAAATCCGAGTTATAATATTCAGCCACTGGATGTCCTCATTTTCAAAGGTCTGCAGAGGGTGATCAGCTGGAAAGCCACGTGTTGTTGACAGTTTGCAGAGCATTGCATAAACATATTCTTGCATAAAAATATTCTATGTGTATTGGGTGTTGCTAAACTCCAAGCTTACCACCCATGTAGCAATGGAATCAGTTTCACTTATCAAGATAATCAAACTACTAGTGGATGCAGAGCATATATTCTCAATTCTCTCTTTTCTTTTCCCTTATTTTGTTATTTGTTTTTTTGGGGTTTTTTTAATGACTTCAGAGTAATTTAGGTAACACCTTGCTTTGCAGGACTTGCATTCCTAATCACTGAGAAGTACACTACATTTCTTCCTTTTTCCAGTGCTACCTTTGCTGGAATTTACTACAGTTTTTGCTGTGGCTTTGGACAGCAGCTTTGTTTTTTAAAGTTCTTGTGAATTCTCAAGGGTACATCCCTCTGCTTGCAGGAATCCTGATTGTCTCATCCCACAAAGACTTTGCCAGGGTTAGATAATCACATTGTGTATGTAGCTACACCTGCCCAGAGAGCTTAACTTTGCTTCCTCTCAGAATCATAGAATGGTTTGGGTTGGAAGTGACCTCAAAGATCATCTAGTTCCAATGCCCCTGCCATGGACAGGGACACCTTTCACTCAACCAGGTTGCTCAGAGCCCCATCCGACCTGGCCTGCTTTCTCCTGCAGCTGTTGAACCATCGTCATCCACCTTTCCTTTGCTGCAGGCTCCCCTGTCTGCACCATCACAGAGGGCATTTCTTAGCCCAAGCTTCCCCTGCAGCTAAAGTTCTCATCCAGCCTCCTCATTCTTGCAGCTCTAGTGGCATCATCCTCATTGCCAAACATTCCTGTCTTCTGGTTATGATTTGGCATTGCTTGTCAGACACCCTCCAACAGCTTATAAAAATCTGAGCTGGCAGAAAGATTGACGATGGGCTGTCTGTAGTCCATGTGGGCTTCATGTTTGTTCATGAAATGTGGAAAACGCATTCATGAAAATCTGTATTGCTGATGTTTTTCAGTTTGAAATTCTAAGGAAAAAAGGTCTACTTCTCTTAGCTTTCTGTCTTTTATTTCTTTAATTCAAGATGCTCTTAAGTCACATTCTACCAAGGCAGCAGTTTGTGCTGTCTAAACACTTGTTTGAAATTCTGAAAGCAGGCTTTACTGTGAGTGGAAGACAAACTTAGAAAAAAAATTAAGGCTAGGCATCTTCTCTTCATTAGAGAAACTCACCTTCTGGTATAAATAAATACACTTACACTAGATACCTACCCTTCATGTACCAGGATGGTTGTTTTGTTCTTACCAGGCTGGTGCATATGGCACATCTCCAGCAGGAATCAGCCTCTGTAGCTGCTGCAGTCTCCTAAGATAACTGATGCCAGGTATGCATTTATTTATCTCCTCACCCAGTAGATCAGCACCGGGTGAGTTCTTCAGAAAAAGAGATGAACATGTTATATTTCCACACACAGCTCTACAGGACTGGTAGATGCTCATGGAAAGTTGCTCATCCCCTGTGCATTCTTTTATGCAGACTGTGGAAAGGGAGTCATGCCCAGAGCTGCTCAGGTGGGCAGAAACCTGGGGGGCTCCTGATAGGGGTCTCAGTCCTGGAATTTGCTCCAGTAAGTAACTGTGGTGATTTCTGGACTCTGGAACATGAATTCCTTAAATTCATGTGAAAGATTCAGAAGATGGAAGACAGAGAAAAAAACCAGCATGGGCAGATCTGGATGACACAA